GAATAATCACAATAAAAGATTTAATAATGAACAATCATGAGACTATAATTTCTTATGTTGTTTATTAATATAAAGTACCGATAACATTCCTTTAAAAAGAAAGCTCTATATATTATGTATGTTAGGAATTATATGTCTATATTTCTCTGCACAGGTCTGTATATATAGACATGTACATACACATACACATACACATATACATATAGCCAGGAAATCTTTACACGGTAGTTGGGACCATAACCATGTGAATGGAGCTGGTGTATAGAAATCTTAATAAGTAATGGAAAAAATTACAGATCAATGTTTTCTTTAAAATTTTGCCAAAGCACTATTCTTTTACTGCCAATTTTAAATGTATAGGAAAATGAAAAATAAAAAGCAAAACAGAATGTATTCAATATACTGTAATTTAAAATATTAGAAACAGTGAGTATTAAATGTTTAATTTCTTTTGGGAAAATTTATCCCCAGCCATTTGAACAGTATGTTGCCTCCTTCTTCCTGTCATATAATTTACAACACAGAGTGACTATTTTTCCCTATGCCTTGGCTAATTGCCATGCTCTTTTCTAATTTTGGATCAGCTACTAACGTTTTATGATTTGCACTTTCAATGCAGTGAAATATCTCCAAGAGTCCCTGTAATGTGAGGATTTTTGGGAGAACCACGTCCTCTCAGACGTCTTCATCTTTTTTCATCACAGATTCTTTCCTCCCTTTCGTTGATAAACTCACTTTCTCTCTGCACATCTTCTGGCTACATTTCCGGAGTCTCTCAGATATGGGAAGCAGGGCCCACATTCCCATGGTCATCTGAGTCTTCTCTACACCCACTTATGTTGGATTTGAATTTTATTTTCAGCCATCAGCGCCTTTTCTTCTTTGCTGCACTTCCATCTTTGTCGGCTGGTGCCCTCTTCCAATTACGCATTTTTGAAAAAATGTCAAAGGGATTTATCACTGGGACACAAGGAGTCAACACCGCTGCATGCTTGCTGTCTGTGCATGAACGGAATAAGAAATGCGTGGTAACCACTGGCAGACTCTAAAAAAAGAGGCATGATTTTTCACCTATCACAGTGTGCATGTGTTTTTTACATAGTGTTGCTCATATTGAGCACAGAAGAATTAGCAGCAATGTTTGTACTTTATACAATTACCCACAGTTATTAAACCATGGTGATTAAAAATTAACTAATTAAGTTAAATCCAAGCCAATTCTTCCACCTCTTCAGATGCCAATAATGTGGGGGTTGCTCAACTGCCCACCTGGGATGGTGGGGACCATGTCTGTCTTTCTAACCACTGTTTAGTCAGCACATTGCAGGTGTACAAAATCAGTCAGTAAATATTTGCTGAATGAAAGAAGGCTGAAAGGCCTTCTAGAGCAGGAGAAATACCTCTAGGGAAAACTGAGTAATACTCAAAGTGTCTCACAATTTTCAAAAAGTGTCCCTTTTTAAAAAAGGATCAATTTAAAAACATTTCTTTTCCCCTTTTCCCATGATACTTTCAGTGCAAAAGGAAGCACATTTATAAAGGCAACAATATGAAGGTAAACCGGCCAGAGGATGGTGTATGTCAGGATCACCTTCTTTAGGAATGGTATGTGGAAGAGGTCAACTTTTGGGTTTTTATCTGAATGCAGGAGAGGGTGTGTATGCACTCACCCATATTTTCTTCTCTAGAGGTCCTTGTGAGCAAGGCCGCAGATTCGAAAATGGCAATCTGAGTTTAGAATTTAATCCTATAATCCATCCATGGGTCACAAAGCTTGGTGTGGGGAGAGCAGATTTAATTTTTTATAAAAACTCTACCATGTCCTAAAGGCTCTATCCTACTAAGAAACATCTAGACTACAAAATGAATGGTACAGGCAAGAATATGAATACTCTTTTTTTTTTTCTTAGAAGAGAATCATTCACTTACCACCTGGAAGAAATTTCTTTTATTGATGTTTTAAAGGAATCATTACTCACAAAATTCATTAGAAAGCCTAGGCCTGATATTGTGAGTTCATGTTTTGCAAGGTGTAAATGGAATGATTTGGTATATGTCCAGGGCACCTTTTTAGAGCATACAAGCAAAATTTAGTAAACAATACCCTAGAGGCAGGAGCAAGATCATTTGCACCTCTACTTTAGCACCTTGTTTGTGCATAGGAGGCAGAGTAGGTAGTAGACTGACTTGCTCAGAGTTCCAGAAAGTTTCCAGGGGGGTGTGACTTGCAATAAAAAGGTTGGTGAGATCTCAGGATGGGCCATGGGATGCAGAGGGCCACTTACTGCCCAAAGAACAGTCTAATCTGAACTACTGGGTCCCTTTCCAAACATTCTCCAGTCACTCTGACAACGTGACTTCATCACAGTAACAAGCATGTTCTATTTCTCTGTCCTCAAGAAAAGGATTTATGTGGGACAAAGAAAAAAATCAAACAATTTTTTGAATTTAATTTTTAAAATTTTATTTGAAAAATACAATACACAGCAGAGAATTATTTCTTCCCCTACTGTTCTTTCACAAAGGTAATTGTATGGTAAATGTAGCTGTGATATTTGGCTAGGACAGATCCTGAGAAAAGAGAGGCCCAGTTAGAAGTGGAGTAGACAAAGTCTGTCAAAGAAGGTTCACCTCTCTTTTAACATAAAAGAGCCTTTAAAATAATCTTAGGAATCAGATAAAACATGAGCAGAATTTCTGCCATGCAAACAGAGACTACTGATATTTTCAGGCTGACCAATTTATACTGACCTGGGCCCCAAGTAAGTGGAATAAAAAGATCTATTAGAAAGATACATGTTTGCCTGCTTTTACTAGTTTATATATGTACATATTTACAAATTAGTATTTTCTTCAGTGTGTTTTTCATTATTCCTAGTAATAGCATCATGGTTAAGGGCTCTTTGCTTGCTTTCTCCCTTATGCATGTGTATCTTTTCATTCTTCTGAATTTCCTTCCTGGTAGGACCCTTCACTGCACAACCAAGGGCCCATGACGTTTAATATTAGAGATGACCTTACTCTGATCCTGGGTTAAATCTGGGTTTAATTTCTGAGCAGTTTCTGACTCCTGAATTCCTACCAAGTTTAGTAAAGTGCAAATATACAATTTACATATGAATATATAGCTCAGGCTTTCAACAGGAAAAATATCCTAAATGGCTCCTTGGAAGACTGACACTAGAACTGATGTACCTCTCAAAGTCTTACTGGTAACCCTGCCTCCTAAAACATCACGATCACCCCTTTCAAGTCCATTCCCGGTAAGTGAATTCCTCATTACTGTTACTGCCTGAAAGTCTTTAAAAGAGGATCAACATGGTCCAACTTTTCTCATGTTCTAAATATGCCACAGAACTGTAATTGCTATAAAAGTCTGAAATTGGTAGAAATATGGATTTCCTAGTTTTGGCCTGACGAGAAGTGCTTTAACTCCCACAATGATGGAAATAGAGCAGGTAACATCTATTTTGGGAGTAATGGCCAAGTCTTTGGTTATATTCATTTGTGGATTTCTCCTGAAATTACAGATAATATTAAAAGTTTATTTTGTTTAGTACTGTCAAGGTTAGGAAGATTCATTTCAGTCAATGAACTACTGTTCATGTAAGACAAACCACTCAAGAGTAGCTTTAACGATGGAATAATTATTGTTAAGGAGTACTTTAAATGGTTTTCTCATAGTCCAGTTCATATTCCTTATGTGATCATGATTTTCATCTTTAATTCTACATGCTCAGTATAAGGTATATCCCTTGGGGACTCTCCTGGGGGGTAGGGGTTAGAGCATGGAGGCAGGGCTGGCAGGAGAGAGATCTGATTTAGGTTTTGACTTTATAAAAGACCTCACATCTAGACTCTTGACATTATTTTTAAATAGAATTAAAAATAGTCTACTATACTGTTGTATATTTGAAAAGTGCTCATTTCTTAAAACATAAATATTTAAAATATAGCATAGCTTTTGTACTCTATTTTGGCATTTCTTCATTTTTAAAAACATAGGTAGTTGTCCAGGACTCTGCTGACCTCTGAAAGACCTTCATGCTTCCAAAATGACATGGCAGTTGTGGTATATTTGAAAACAATACTGGTTTGGGGTCAGACAATATGAATTTAACTTTTAACTGCTTCTTATCAGTTTTGTAAAATTGGGCACATTATTTACCCTGCTTTCGCTTTATTTTTCTCACTGTTTCCATGGGGTTATTGTGAGGAATTAAATGAAATTATAAATAAAAAGTACTTTGTAAACTGTAAAGTGCTACACAAGTGCAAAGTCAAATAAATTAACCACATTTCTGGCATTTATATAATTTAAATGATGTATCAGGGTTGGCTCTCCCCTACTTAAATTATTAGGAATCTTTATAGGTAAAAAAAACCTGAAAATGGAGACTTTGAGCTCTGAAGACACTATTATCAATGGAAAATTATTCAATAAGTAGGTAGGATTGATGAATTTAGTCCTTAAACTATCCTAAACACTGCCTGCATTCAAAAGCAACAAGTCAACAATTAGACCACAATTGTCAGGAACAAAAGTCCAAATAAATAATTTTTAATTATGATACATTACTTATTACAGTAAAAATTGGCATTTTCCCCTTCAAAAGCAGAAGCACCAGACTTAGAATGTATACTATCAATGATATTTTGAGTGAAACATAGCATAATATCTAATGTGAAAATATTATTTTAGTATAGAACATACTTTCTAAAAGTAAAATAATTTCACACGCTGAAATCTGTTAGAATGGAAATAATGTCATGCTGAATAAAATCAAAACCCCCATGACCTTCAAAGTCCACTTCATATGAAATGTGGTATACTGGTGAATAGATAAATGAAAAATTTAAAAAGCTGCACTAGCCCCAAATGGAGGGATTTCTTATACAAATATGACTTGTGTTGAGGTTATTTTTCGCATACTCTCAGTGATTCTGCAAGAAACTAAAGTGAATGTTTTATTTAGGAATCAATTTGTTCAGTCGGTCATCGCATTATTGAGCACCTACTTTTTGCAAGGCTTTGCTGTAGGTGCTGGGGATATAGAGAAGAAAAGACACAGTCCTGCCCTTGAGGAGCTCACAGTCTAGTGGGGGAAACAGATAAGTTGACACTGGTTTTTAAATTAAAAAATTTTAAGAAAACTTTATAAACTTCTTTTGTAATCAAACTTTGGGTGTTATGAATGGATGGTGAAAAGGGATGATGTCCAGTGCAGTGAAAAACCGCTTGCTTCAATATCATGTGACTTCTGCAAAGGCGGTGATGTGGTTCTGTCAAAAGAAAAAGGAATTACATAGTCAGAAGCTTGGGAAAGTTGGTTGTTGTAAAATAGTGCTTTTACAAACTATCATTAGCCTAAGATATAACTATAGCCCATATATGTTTACTTTGAAAAAAACATACACCATTATTCAACTAAGTTCTATGTATTATTATGTAAATTTAGTTGCTAATGATATATTTTATTCAATATTCTTAATTAACCAAAGAGACTAAAATGTTATTCCTGCTTTGTTCAAAATTAAAATGAAATTTGGTGAGGTAAGAGAGGCAATGCCAGACGTGTTAATATTCTGTTCGGTGTTAATGGAATTTTAATGCTGCACACTAGAGTTCCAGATTAATTGCTCCCTGTGAGAGAGATGGCACACAATGAGATGGTGGAATGTTCAGATTGAAATGGCATTTGCTAGTTGACAAAGATATACTTAAACACTTCATTTTTTCCCCAATTTTATTGAGAATTGACATATATTGCTGTATAAATTTAAAGTGTACAGCATGATGGCTTGATTTACATATGTTGCTAAATGATTATCACAATAGGGTCAGCTAACTTCCATCATATAGATATAATAAAAAGAAAAACAAGAATAAAGGAATAGTTTTTCCTTGTGATGAGAACTGTTTCCTATATATCATACAGTTAATCTATAATCAGAATTTTGTACACTACATCCCTAGTACTTATTTAACTTACAACTGGGAAATTTGTGTTTTTTGACCACCTTCCTCCAATTCCCCCTCCTCCATATCTTTGCCACTGGTAACCCCAGTCTGATCTTTTTTTCTGTGAGTTTGTGGGGGTTTTTTGTCTTTTTTTTTTTCAGATTACACATGCAAGTGAGATCATACAGCATTTGCCTTTCTCCTTTGGATTTATTTTGCTTAGCATAATGTTTTCAAGGTCCGTCATTGTCACAAATGGTAGGATTTCCTTGTTTTTTGTTGCTGAATAACATTTCATTACATACATATGTATATATGTATATACTCATGGAAAACACAACTTCTTTACCCATTCATCCATCAGTGGGCACTTAGGTTGTTTCCATGTCTTGGTCATTGTAAATAATGCTCCTATGAACATGGGAGTACAGGTATCTTTTCAAGTTAGTGTTTTCATTTTCTTTGGACATATTCCCAGAAATGGAATTTCTGGGTCATGTGGCATTTGGAGATTTAATTTTTTGAGGATCCTCAAAGCTGTTTTCCATAATGGCTGTACCAGTTTACAATCCCACCAACTGTGAACAAGGGTTCGCTTTTCTCCACATCCATGCCAGCACTTCTTACCTCTTGTCTTTCTGATGAAGGCCAATCTAAGAGGCATGGATGATACCTTACTGGTTTTAGTTTGTATTTTCCTAATGACTAGCAATGCTGGGTATCCTTTCATGTGCTTGTTGGCCTTTTGTAGATCTTCTTTGGAGAAATGTCTATTCAGATCCTCTACCTACTTTTTTATTAGGTTATTTATTTACTTTTTGCTATTAAGTTGTGAGTTTTTTTATATTGAGGTTATTAACCCTTTATCAGATTTATGGTGTGCAAATACTTTTTCCAATTCTGCAGGTTTATTTGTACCTTGTTAATAGTTGTTTTTGTATTTTGTTCTTTTGTGTGTGTGTGTGCAGAAGCTTTTTCATTTGATGGAGTCCCATTTGTTCATTTTTTATTTTGTTGCTTATGCTTTTGGTGTCATACCAAAAAATCATTACTAAAATCCAGGTCAAGAAGCTTTATTCCTTTGTTTTCTTCTGTAAATTTCATGGCTTCAGGTCTTCCATATAAGCCTTTAATCCATTTTGAGTTATTTTTTGTGAGTGGTGTAAGATGTGGGTGTAGTTTCATTCTTTTACATGTGAACATCCAATTATCACAACACCATTAATTCAACAATTGCCCTTTCTTCGTTGAATATTCAAGGTTCCTTTGTCAAAGCTTGACATCGTATGCTTGGGTTTATTTCTGGGCTCTTGATCTGTATTTGTCTATTTTTATGCCAGTATTATAGTGTTCTGATGACTATAGCTTTGTAGTATTGCTAGAAATCAGTAAGTATGATGTTTCCTGTTCTGTTCTTTTTTCTCAGGATTGCTTTGGCTATTCAGAATATTTTATGGTCCCATATAAATTTAAGGATTTTTTCTATTCCTATAAAAAATATCATTGGAATCTTAAGGATTGCATTGAAACTATGGATGGCTTTGGTAGTATTGACATTTTAACAATATTACATCTTTCAGTTCTTGAACATCGAATACCTTTCCATTTATTTGTCTTCTTTGATTTCTTTCATCCATGTTCATAGTTATCAGAGTAGAGATTTTTGACCTTCTTAGTTCAATTTATTGTTTTTGTTGCTATTATAAATGGTATCAACTTCTTTATTTCTTTTTCAGAATATTTATTGTCAGCATGTAGAAATGTTACTGATTTTTGCTGGTTAATTTTGTATCCTGAAATTTTACTGAATTATTGATTACATCTAACAGTTTTTTGGTTGAGTCTTTAGGATTTTCTATATATAAAATCATGTCACTTGCAAACAGAGATAATTTCATTTCTTCTTTTCCAATTCTGATACTTTTTATTTCTTTTACTTGCCTGGTGGCCCTAGGTAGGACTTCTAGCACTATGTTGAACAGGAGTGGTAAGAGTGGGCACCCTAGTCTTGTTCTTGATCTTAGAGAAAAAAACTTTCAACATTTCACCATTGTGACACTAGCTGTGTGCTTTATTATATTGAGTATGTTCCTTCTATGCCTAATTTGTTAAGAGTTTCTTTCATGAATGGATGTTGAATTTTGTCAAAAGCTTTTTTTGCATCTATGGAGATGGTCATATGATTCTTTTATTTTATTCTATTAATGTGATGTATCACATTGATTGATTTGCATATGTTGAGCCATCCTTGCATCTCAGAGATAAATCCCATTTGAGCATGGTGAACTATCCTTTTAACATACTGCTAAGTTTAGTTTGCTAGTATTTTATTGAGAATTTTTGCATCTATATTTTTCCAGGGTGCTGGGATGTAATTTTCTTTTCTAGTGACATCCTTTTTGGTTTGGATATCTGGAGAATGCTGACCTTACAAAATGAGTTGGTCGTATTCCCTTCTTTTTGAGATGTTAGAAGAGTTTAAAAGGATTGGTGTTGATTCTTTTTTAAATATTTGGTAAAATTCACCAGTGAAGCCATCTGGTTCTGAAATTTTCTTCCTTGGGAGATTTGTTAATACTGATTTAATCTCCTTACTACTAATCATCAGAATCTGTTCATATTTTCTACTTCTTCCTGATTCAGTCATTGTGAGTCATGTATTTCCAAGGATTTTTCCATTTCTTATAGGTTTTCCAGTTCTTAGGGATACAGTTGTTCATAGTATCCTGTTATGACTCTTTGAGTTTCTGTGGTATTAGTTGTAATGTGTCCTTTTACATTAATAATTGTATTGATTTGGGTCCTCTCTCTTTTTTCTGTGGCTAGTCTATATAAGAGCTTGTCAATTTTATCTTTTCGAAGAATCAACTCCAATTTGGTTAAACTTTTCAAGTCTTTTTCTTTTTTTCTATTCCATTCACTTCTGCTCTAATCTTGATTATATAATTTCCTTTCTTCTGGTAAGCTTGGATTCAGTTTGCTCTTCTTTTACTGATTCTTTAAAGTGTAGAGTTAGGTTGTTTATTTAGGATCTCACTTGCTTTTAATGTAGGCATTTATTTCTATGAACTTCTCTCTTAGAACTGATTTTGCTGCATCCTACAAGTTCCGTATGCATGTTTCCATTTTTGTTTGACTCAAGAAATTTCCCCTTTGATTTCTTTTTTGAAGAATTGTTTGTTTAGAAAAGTTTTGTTTAATATTCATGTATTCATGAATTTTCCAGTTTTCCTTCTATTATTTCCTGTTATTGATTCCTAGTTTCATGCCATTGCTATCAGAAAAGACACTGGTATGATTTCAATCTTCTTGAATTTGCTAAGAGTTGTGGCTTAATGCCTGGTCTCTCTAAAATGTTTCACGTGCACTTTGGAGTAATGTGTATTCTGTTATTGCTAGATAGAATACTTTTGTATGTCTCTTAGGTACATTTATCTATAGTGTTGCTCAAATCTATTTCCTTATTGATTCTCTGGGTGATCCATTGTTGAGAGTGGTATATTGAATTCTCCAACTATTATTGCATTACTGTTTACTTTTCCTTTTAGCTGTTTATTTTTGCTCTACATGATTAAATGGCCCCTGAAGGTCCACCTGCAATCCCCATGACATAAAATCAGAGAAGGAACTTCCAAACAAAATGACCTGCAATGCTGACAGGGGCCAGTTGTTCCTTTTTTCCACTGGAGGAAACAGAGGCTCAAAGGAGAGCACTCCATGGAGTACTGCATTATCCTGGGGGAGGGTCAATGCTGTCCATGTGTAGTCACTTCCCTTCTGATGCAATCTCTCTTGTCTCCATGATGTAGGGGAGCTTCAGTCTCACCCCCAAGTTCTAGGGTTCTCTCAGTGGCACCTTGTTTTTGAATATTGTTAGTTGTTCTCCTTGTGCAGGAGCCAAAACAGGAACAACTTATGTTGCCACCTTGGTGACATCTATCCAAACGTTGACATCTATCCAAATGTATGACATCTATCCATACATTTTTGATATATGAATACAGACTACAATTGGAATATCTGTTGTTTACTCTAACCATAGTTTTCTCTACAGAGCCTTTTTACTTTATTTTTAAAGCAACAGAATTGTGTACAAAGAAATCCTGTAGAATGGCTAATATTTAAATGGATTCAAACATGACATACATCAGGCCGTATCATGGCTTCTGAAAAATTACAATGAAAAATCAATGTGACATAATCATGCCACATAAAGGATTATCTCAAGAGCTAAGATCTGCGATAGCTCCCACAAATAATAGCAGTAATACAAGGTGTTTTACCAATATTTTACACATTTTGAATGCTTTTCTTGTATTGACTCTTTATAAGTCAGAGACATCATAAATAGAATTTCATTGAATGAATGCCTGCCATGAGATTTCTTCCATGGATATGTAGCTATTTGCAAGTTAAAGTGTTTTAACCAGTTAAAATGTTTTTAAATGTGTGTGAAGAAATTAAAATTCATTTTCACTGAGTTTAGGCATGTTAAACCACAAGTAGAAGGATATCACTGTATTGCTTAAGGTGTTATTTGAGAAACGATATCAGTAAAAATCAGTAGTGAACAGAGTATATATGCTATCTTATCCACTAACTCCTGATAAGACCTTAGAAACTTAAATTTCTCTTTAAAAAAAGTATGGTGAAAATGTTGGTGAATTTAGCAATTCATCTCTGAGTTTTCTTGATTTTTCCCTATAGAAGCACAAGCATGATTTTAGGACAAAAAAGACTTGTCAGTACAATTAATGATTCTGTAGCATTGTACTACACTGATGGACACTGACTGTAATGGGGTATGTGTGGGGTACTTGATAATAGGGGGAGTCTAGTAACCATAACGTCGTTCAAGTAATTGTAATTGTACATTAACAATATCAAAATTAAAAAAAAAATGACTTGTCAGTGTTATGAAATGTCCTATGATTGAATAAAAGCCATAAAAACCATGGAAACAGTGCGTCATAGTTTCATTTCCAGTGGTCGCATAGGGACTTGAAATCTGTGAACTAAGAAAATACAATTTGATGTACAGTGTTTCAGCACAAAACTGACAGGATAAGTATTGACACCTCTGTACAGTACCTAGCACATAGTAATTGCTGGAAGCATGTTAAGATATAAATTGAAGATTAATTAGTCAGTAGCAACTGGTGGTTATGGAAAGGGTAAAAAGTGACAGTAGAAAGAAAGGAAAGGTAATAAAGAAAAAAGAGAAAATAGGTGGTGTTCCAAAGGCCACTGGCTTAGGTATCCACATTTCCTTGTCCCAGATAATGAGGTATCCCATAGAGCTCATTTAATTTGCTGAGAATGACCCTAAGGGAATGGGACAACCACTACCTTGGACCATAGAACTCAAATATTAAAAGACCTTAAAGCACAGAGAGTATCAGAAACAAATCACTGATAATCAGTGCAAGACAGGACAGAAGCAGAGAAAAAAAACCAAGTGACAGGTGCAAGCTGGAGAGAGTGACAAAGAATGTGCAATTACATTACATAGGGAAATCATGATTTGCATAGGGAAATCATGTAAATTGTCATCTAATCCTGGACATACTGTGGGGAAAGGAGATGCTTAATAATACACAGGGACAACAGATTTAAGTTGGGACTATATCAAATAAAGATATAAAGTCACTTTAGAAATGTGCTACTGGACTTAAAACTGTAAGTATGCTATGGAGATCTAGGAAACACTGACTTCAGTCTTGGCATTTAAAATCATGTTTTAGTGGTCAGTAGATCTGGCTTTACTGCCCATCAATTCCAAATGATATTGCCCTTTTCCTATTGTAAGTCATTACCAAGCTAAATGATAGGGGTAACAGTTTGTTTCCAGACTGATTACATTTTTATATCCCAGGGCTCTGGGGAAACTCCAGCTTTTTCCAATTAGCATCCTTTCAGTTTGACATCACACTTAAATTTTAACCTCTATGATGACTGTTCCTATTTGACTGGAATTGAAAGGATTCTGCTCAGGCATAACATTTAAAGGTGATCACTAGCAGAAAGATAAAGAGATGAAAATAAAACACTGAAATGACTGTACATAGGGAAGAGCAAATTTAATAATAGGTTCTAAGTAACGAAAGGAGTATATAGAAAGCACAGGGGCCATCTGTTCATTAATTTCACTGTCTAAGAGCAAATGAACCCACACCATAGGAAGAAGATGGATTACTTATCTCAGTAAGATTTCAAAAATAAGATTAATTCTCTTCTAGCATAGAGATGGTTTTCCCAGAAGGAATATAGAGAAAGCTAATTATTTAAGGTCCTTACCATATGTAAGACTCAATGATTCTATATTATAAATTACATTAGCAAGGTATGTAAATGCATGATTTGAATTATACAAATGGCATAATTCCTATGCAGGAAGTCATACTAGAGCTCATTTCTCCACTAGCACTTTTCTCAGTAATATAAAACGACAGAATTTTTGCTTTTAATACTTTCAGATCACCTGTCCTGAGGAATGGACTCCTTATGAAGCAAACTAGATGACAAAGGGTTTCTCGTTTTTATCTGGCTGAATACTTAATCTGCAATAGTAAATCTTATTAGTGGATGATAGTGCAAATATGTAGTAGGCAAACCAAAAACTCATGCATAAAAATTTAATTCAAAGTCCCAAGAAGAAAATGGTCATAAAATTTATCAGTGCAATTTACTGGTGCCTTCTGCAATTACACATATGAAGATGTAAATTACAGTGGAGATGTCAGAGCTTCAGCCCAAAAAGTTGAAGATTAGAGTATGCTACACACATTAGAAAGTGCTCATGCAAGTCCACAGCAAATCAATCAGCAAAATACTGAATCCAGTCCTTGAGTGCAGAGGTCCCACGGAGAAACGAACACTCGTTTCTGAAAGTATTTTTGGATTCTTAAATTTGGTAAATTCTAAAGTCTATATAGAATGTCAGTTTTGAAGTTCTAAATTCTACACGAAAATCTGTTTTACTATTTATTCTATACATTTGTAAAAATTGTACTCTGTAAATTTTAAAAATGTTATTTAAAACATAATTGTCATTTATTTATGACATGAAAATATGGCAATGACTTGCCATCTGACAAGATATGCCACTCACCATTTCCCTTGAAAAAATAGGGGAAGTGTAAAAAGATAGGAAAACAAAAATAGCCATTATTATTAAGGGCTATTTGACTGAGGAATGTTCCCATGAATGAATGAGAAATTGGTGAAAAAATAAAATATAATTGAAAGATAATAATAACAACAAGAATCTAGTACCTAGATTTTTGGATGTAACAAAGCCTGCACAGAAGGACATATTTCTGTATTTGCCTTAGCTTTGCAACCCAACAGTAACACCAGTGCGCTCCAGCGCACATACGTTTATTGCCTTAATTGAAGGTGCTCACAGTGGCTTATTCCCATTATCCACCTGAAGAGCCTTGCAAGACAGTCTTTAAAGGACCTTCCCTGTGAATTTTCTTCTTGACCATTCTCAATAGTTTGGATTCGGGACACCTACAAAATGTGTTTCATATATTATTTAATGCTTATTTAAATAGTGACATTGTACTTGGGCAAAGTGCTAATTAAGTTCTATCTTGTTACATTGTTAGACCAAATACCGAGGCTAAATATTGTTCCAGTTTCTTTCTTTCAAGATGATAATCAACAGCTTTTGTGTTTAAATAGGAGGTTGTTAGCAATCATCTTAGGTTTTGAACCTAAACATAAAATAAGATCCATGAATAAAATACCTTTAATTCAACCATTTATGCCTGCAGCTCCATTGGTAAGGAAGCTTTGGGGTGGGTGGACTCTGAAGGCAAGTAGTGTGAATGCCTGGTAAGGTGAGGTCCCTAACAAATGAAATTTTCATGAGCAATTACACCTTTCAGAGACCCAGCTTCCTCATCTGTGAGATGGAGGTAATAATACCTACTTGAAAGGATTCTCCTTAAAATGAAATGAGATTATAAGCACAAGGGACCTTGTCTTTACTCAAACACATCACTGTAGTAGTCTATAAATGCCAGAGAAACAAGATAAGAAATAAAGGAAATAAGAAAGAAAAAGCTAAAGGAAAACATCAATAACTTTATAATTGGTTGGAATCTCACAGTGCTATAGTTTACAATTCTAATAGGCAAACAAACCTTAAAAGCAAATGTCTTTATAAGATTGGTACAAACTTAGTTGATGGTGTGGGGAAAATGGAAGTTCCTATGGCCAGGATCCTCACCTGACCCTAAACTACTTGATGATGTAACTGGCCTGCTGCTAGGCTACTGCTTCCACACCCGTGGGCAATGAGCTATTACTGACTGAGCCACGATATAAAGAGCTCTGCCCAGTTCTCTGGGCAGAGGCAGACACAGAGGTGGATTATGGACCTGCACACTACTGTATGCAGACATGATTCTAGTACTCAACCTACCACTGGCAGAATAAAGTTGGGTATAAACCCTTTTACCCCAAGAACATTCCACTGTCATTTCTTGGTTTCACTGAATCTACTGTGAACTTGCCTGGGGCTGAAACCCACTGGCAAGACAGATGGTAAAAGCCACATCTAAATTACTGTGAGGTGATTTATACTCCATTTATATAGAAATATCTGTCTTTGACTACAAAGTGCTGCCCAAGACCCTACTTATGTAACAGAACACACAGCATTTTCCCCTAAAATATATTTTTAATTCTGAAAAACATCTAGCACTAAGAGCAATCATGATCCTATAAAAATTCTGATGCCATATAGATGCAACCTATATTTTATCAGGGGAAGTGGATGGATGCCATACTCCCAAATACTGGTGCTCTTCATTTTGCTATTTGCTTTCTTCCTTCACTCTTTGTGTCCTTTGAGGAGGGCAAGATGGGAAAGAGAAGCAAAGGTGGAAAAGCAGTAATGCAAGGGGTGTGGGCGCTAAGCCTTTTCTTTGTCACATTGTGTTTTTCTCCTGGAAGATGGTGAAGTTGGTATTTTAGTAAAGAGAAATAATGTCTATGAAGAAATTATTGGAGAACTTCAGACATGCGGCTGTGAAACTGATGGCAAAATTCATGTTAAGTAATTTCTTGTTTTAAGAAATTGGGCATATAAAGACCTAAAAAACTGGGGATGTGATAGAACCAGAGTTCTTTCAGGAAAGATTTATTTTGAACCATTTCTTTCTTTACAGCAGTTCTGTTTCAGTTCAGAGTTTTATATTAACTCATAGTTCTGTTTCCATTCAGGAATTTCCTTTTGGTACTATGTGGAGAAATGGTCTAAGAGCTACTTGCTGAGAAAACTGTTTTTCCCTAAAGAAAGGAGAAATCTCTAGGCGGCATTCTCTGATAAACTAATTAAACCAAAGCAGGCCCAGCGGGCATTGGAGCACCAGCTATAGAGCTTACAAAATATTTCCAAGTCCCGAAGAGCCCAAAACGTAAGGTTTTCCACATGGGATCTTCAGGAGCAAACTTGGCTGCATCTCAATCACATGGGAGCTTTAAAAATACGCTGATACAATCCCAGAGACTCAGATTTAATTGGTTTGAGGTGTGGCCTCCTCAACGGGGTTTTTAAAGGCTCTCCAGATGATTCTAATGTGAGGCCATTACTGAAAACTACTGTTTCAGAAGCTCTGCAGGCCCAACTAGATCCAGGCCAACTGCTAGATCCATATTCAAATCACCTGAAATACCCAATACACTACAGATCCCTAGGCCTACTGGATCAGAATCTCTGGGAACACATCACAGAAATTTGCCCTTTTTGCAAGTGCTGCATGTAATATAAAAGGATTCCCTTTGCCACCATTCTGAGATGCTTAAAGGTGTGGAAAAATGATTGGTTTGTAATGTAAGCATTGTCAGGTACATAAAATCAATTATTTATTTAAATGCTATCATTTCTCTGGTAAAAAGAGCATTGCTTAAAAAAGCAGTAATCCTGAATGATTCTCCAAAAAGTAAAATATTTCTGTTCAGAACTTACCCTAGGTACAACTTCACATTGTATTTATTCCTTGTTTAGAGTTCAGTGCATAAAGGTGTTGGGAGCACCTGTAGTAAAGACTTGTGGTTCACTTGTGGAGAAAGTGAAGGTTCCTATTGCCAGGATTTTCACCTGGCCCTGGTCGGCACACTCACTACCCATGTGTGGGCAATACATTGTTACTGACTTTATATAAAGAGCTCTTCCCAGGGCTCTGGGCAACATAGTGGCATGCCTGCAAGGCTGTGAGAGAGCAGAGACAAGACTGGAGTGGTGGCAGCACTGAGGACAGAGACTGAGATGGCTGTGGGGGCAGAGAGGCCCAGAGGCAGAGATCAGCTTGCTGCATGCAGATTTGCTCTGAGTGGACAAAATTCTAGTGACTGGCCTGCCACTGTGTGAATAAAGTTGGGTATAAACCCTTCCACCTGAAGAACATTCCATTGTCATTTTTTGGTCTCATTGAATTCATATTGAACTTGCCCAGGGCTGAAACCCACTGGCAAGACACACTTTAACTCAGTGTTTCCCAATGTATTAACAGGCAACTCATAGGTCTATTAATCTTAATGTGTTTATGTACTTGATGGATGTGGGTATACATGTACTCTCTTTTAAATTTCTTAACCTTCTTAACTCTAATAACCTGCCCACCATTTTGCTCCTTTTCAATTCTATTTCCTTTACACTCATTCTGGAACCCCACCTGTGGGGAAAATGGAAGTTCCTCTAGCCAGGATCCTTACCTGACCCTAAGTTATTTGATGACATAATTGGCCTACTGCTAGGCTAATGCTTACACACCTGTAGGCAATGAGTTATTGCTGAATAAGTCTCTATATTAAGAGCTCTACCCCAGTTCTCTGGGCAAAGATAGAGGTGGAGGTAGATTGTGGACCTGCAGACTGTTGGAGGCACATGTGATCCTAGTGCTCAACCCACCACTGTGAGAATAAAGCTGGGCATAAATCCTTTTACCCCCAAAATGTTCCATTGTCATTTCTCAGTCTCACTGAATCTACAGTGAACCAGCCCAGGGCTGAAACTCTCAGGTGAGACACTGCCTAAACATTCTTAAGTGGCATCCCCAAGTCTCTAGCCCCTGTACTCTTACCTGCATCCTCCCCTTAGAGGATGTTGCAAGATTGCTAAGTTTGGCTAGGTCTTCCTTTATGTGCTCCTCTAGCACAGAGGGGCTCCATTCTGTATTTGCTTATAACGTTATCTATCTTCCCACTAGACTGTAAGCTCATGAGTCCTGGGAAATGTACAGTACTTCTTAGTTGATATTTGTTACATGTTTCATATATTACAAATCTAATTACAAATGAAACTACATAACAAATGGTAAAAAAGGTATCTCATCCATTAATTGTTTCCATGCCTTATTTCATACTAGTGTTTTAATCTAACTAATTGGCTTGTTTATTACATTTCTTTCTACCTTTTTAAAATGCTATCTGACAGAGAAGAATCAGAGCATGTGGGTAATGGATCACGTGTATGATAAATTCTTATACAACTAGGAGCTGATTAAAACTCCTCATTTAAAAACTTGCCTATTTTCACAAAGAGGTACCAATCAGTAAAAATCTGGCTGAACTACATCATGACTGAAAATGATAAGTGCCGGGAGCCATGCTACTCAAGCTGTGTAGTGAAGCTCAAGCTGGAGGAAGAACCCCACAAAGCAGGGGCCTTCGCAGCTGGCTCCCCCTATTACTCACCTTGATTTTTCTTTTTTTATTATACTATTGGCTTTGCTTTTACCTGCATTTTTTGCTAAGGGTTAACTAACCTTTGCTGAGCAGTGTGGAAAGGATGAAAACATAAGTTTCCCAGGAGCTTTTCAGGCCAGTGCTCCTGAAGAATGGAACACGCAGGGGCCAAATGGTGATCTTGGCATAAAGTACCGAAACCTACTGTTAGTCAAACATTGACCACCCCATTTCCACTGATATTACTCCCCTTTTTTATTATTACAATGCTAGTGAAACTAGTGATGGAAAGTTGTCTAGAAATAGAGTTATGAGAGAATGTTGAATAGAATAACCCTGTCTGACACTTAATTAATCTTCTCATGTTTTCTTCCCTCTACTACTTCAATAGTTTTTTTTTCTTCTTTCCTAATTACAGCCATTTACTAAACTTTGTGCCTTATATGTGAGATTACCAAATACCATAATTTTCCAGGAAGTAAAGATACCTCAAGACAAGTGCTGGGCATAGAAGCCACAGAGCATAAATCTGCAAAGAAGTGAAAAATTAACCTTTTCAAAGAATATTACTTCTCTCTCACTTACCAGCTTTACATCTCCCTGTATGGCCCCATAAAATGGCTTTTTAGCCAGAGACGGGTAAGATTCCTCAAGGGAGGAGCAACCTAAGGCAGGCACAGTCGCAGGGGGGCCATCAGGTGAGAAAATGGGGATCAACAGAGGTGAGGCTTAGAACCTCATCCCCCCAGTTTTGAGAGAAATTGTCTACACCCGTGGATGTTTGTTGCCCATGTTCGGCTTGGATTAATACCTAG